GGCAAGCCCTCGACGCATGTGGCTGTGGCAAACATGCTGGCAGCGCAGGCTGGCAGGTGAGGCACGGAGGCTGCGCCACAGCAGGTGACGCGCGGGAGCTCACCGCTGGAGGTAGGCTCGGGCGCTGTTGCCCGCGCTGGCGGGCGCGGGCGACAGCCCGGCGCTCGCCCGCTGCGCGCGCTCCTCCACCGCCGCCTCTGCGGCCTGGCGCTGGCGCTGCGTGCCTAGGCTGCCAGCCACCGCATCCTCCGCCGCCGCATCCTCCGCCGCAGGCGCCTCGTCGGCCGGCCCGCCAGCAGGCGGCGCCTCTGAGCCTACACCGCCGCCGCCTGCCTCCCCCTGCTCCTCCTCTCCGGCCCCGCAGCCGCGCTTGGGAGCCGGCTCCAATGGAAGCGGCACCTGCTGCATCTGGGCAGCAGCCTCCTCCACTTCCCGATCCGGCACCGGCGCCTGCTCATGCGACATAGCGGGGGCGGGCGCATCCGAACGCTCCCGGCTCAGGGAGGAGCCCCTGCAGGCAGGCGGGCAGGCAGGCGGGCGGCGCAACAGGGGTGGGAAGCTCGTTGGCTGGCAGGCAGAGCGCGTAGGCAGTGTCTGCAAAGGTGCCAGGGGACGGCCCAGAGGCCCGGGCTGACGGAAGCAGGTGCAGGCAGGCAGGCGGCAGCGGCAGGCAGCGGTCATCAGCGTGAGGTGGCGGGGCGGCAGGTAAAGTCAGCGCAGGCCGGCTGGCGGCCTCACATGCGGCGCAGCTGGCGGGAGGTGGGTGTGGGTCCCACCACGCCGCTGGTCACGCGCACGAGCATGGTGCCCGGCTCGGTCGAAACCGTCTCCACCAGGCTGTTGTCCTGCATGCTGGCCCGGCGCAGGTGCTTGGGCTTGGAGCCCCAGCTGGCGGCCGCCGTGGGCGTCCCCTGCCCCGAGCTGGGCAGGCCGCCTGTGGAGAGAGAGGAGCCCAGCACGCCCGTGGCGATGCTGGGGGGCGCGGGGGAGGCGGCGGCGGGGGCCGGCGGCTGCGCCAGGGCCACCGCCGCGTCCGGCGCCGCCGCGGCCGCCGCCGTCTCGTCCAAGGGCGAGTGGCGGGCTGGGTGGCTGGGCCCCGCGCCGCCCTCCCGCCCCTCCCCCTGCTCCTCTGCGCTGTGCCCCGTCTCCGCCAGGCTGGCGGCCGAATGCGTGGCCATGCTGGCGGCAGAGTGCAGCGGCTCCATCGGCACCTCCGCCTCTCGCTGCTGCAGCGGGGTGGGCTTGGCGGGCAGGGAGGGCAGCAGCGTGTTGGCGCCCGCCGCCGCCGCCGTCCTCGCGCCGGTGGCCGCCGCCGCCATGGCGCCGTGCAGGCCGCGGGCGACGGTGAGGGGGATGTCTCGCGGGGTGAAGGGCTTCACCTCCACAGGGCCCCGCAGCTCCAGGCTGCTCTTGTTGCCTGCGGCAGGTTGGGCGGGCGGACATGGGGCACAGGGCAGCAGGTTTGCAGGGGTTTGCTTCAACGGGGAGCAAAGAAGAGGATTTCCGTGCGTTGAACCAGCCGCAGCCAGCAGCACCCCCGCTGCTGCCGCCTCGCCTCCCCTGCCCGGCAACATGGGCGCCCCCACCAGCGCCTGGCTGCCCGGCTGGCTGCCTCGCCACCGCCCATGCAGCCCCCCGCCTGCCCCCAGCTCACCCACGGTCGTGATCTTGATGCCCTGGCTGTAGCGGCGCGCGGGCACGTGCGCCAGCCCCACCATCACCTCATCCTGCTTGTTCATCAGCACCAGCTTGTACTCCAGCAGAGCCTGCAGTGGCGGCAGCAGGGGGTGGGGCGGGCGGGTGACGGTGTGAGGGTGATGGTGCCAGGGTGGTGGGAGGAAGGACAGGTGTTGATGGGGCAGCAGGGCAGGGGCACTGGCATGGAGAGCAGAGCAGAGCTCCTGGAGGAGCACCGTTCTGCAGCATACACGCTGCCAGCCACACAGGTACAGCCCCCCGGCAGGCGGCCCCCCGGCCCTTGCCGCGACACTCGCCTGGCTGACCTGGCCGCCGCCCGCCAGCGTGCCCAGCGGGTCCCACCCGCCCCTGTCGCTGCCCAGGGCCGCATCCACTGCCGCCATCATCATTTCGCTGGGGTCGCGACTCGTGGTCTCAGTCATGCTGGTGCCTGAGGAG